TCTGGTAACCTTAAAGTGAAAGATTCAAGTTTGATTCCTTAATTATACTCTTGCTACATCCATTTATGTGCTTTTTTTTTCTTTTTTGTTACGATCGAGATCCTCTAGATTTATGAAATGAGTATACATCTTAGAGTAAATTACCCTTCTAAAATGACGAACACATTAATAACCAAATCGAGGGCTCAGATTGACCAGATATCATCTCGTTTCTTCACGAAAATGCCCTCAAAGTTTGTCGAAAATCACACGCATGCCTCCGACCTCATTCCCATTTTCTCTCTCTCCACCCCCCTCACTGCCCAACAGCTCCTCCACCACGAAACGTCGCCATGGCCATTGTAGCCGTCTGAGTCTGCCGCGAGCCACCGCCGAGACGGCCACGACCACGGCAGCCCCACCGCCCGCTCCCCTCCTCTCTCTTCTGCGTCGGTGCACGCACCCACCTGCATGTATGGAATGGAATGCGGTGTACGGCCACGTGGAGGCCGAGACATCCACCAGATCGCTTTAGCTACCTCACGCCACCACAGATCTGGTTTTAGAGAGAGAGCGAGAGAGAGGGGTGGCGGTGGTGGCTGGAGTTGCGTTGGCGAAGGTTCATCACGGTCTGCTGTACCCTTCCCGCCAGCTAATGATTGACGGGCGCACCTTCCTCTTTCCCACAGAGGGAAGGAAGGAGTTCAAGAACGGAGGGGAAGGAAGAAGAAACCAAGAAGATGCTCAAGGCGCACGCAGCCTGACGGGATTTACGAAGATCGAGTCTGAAGACGAAGCTGGGTCAACGCGATCTTTTCCCGGACCCTTTCCTATTCGATCTTTTTCCCGATCCATGACACGTCACAAGCAAGCTCATCGAACCAGTCCACTTCTTCAGACCCACCTCTGCCTTTTTGCTTTCTTTTTCTCGATGAATTTTCTGAATTGATATCTTTAATATAATAAATAATTTGATCGAGATCAACGTGGGAGGCTCCCACGAGATATTCTTTGCATTTTGCTATAGTATCTGTATACACCCGGGGCACATGTTCCCTAGAATATACTCAAATGGGTCTCGAAATGGTATATTGAATTTCCCTCACCAAGCATATGGATAGGAATGTGTTAAGAAGACTAATGTTTATAAATTTAGTCATGCAAGTGCAAGTTAAGCGTGGTCGTTGAAGCCTATTGTCATTTGTTTTTTTTTTGTTTTTCTCTTGTTGCTCTTGTAGTTCCTTTTTGGTTTTCTATGGAGGTTGGTGTAATCTAGGCCCGCTTTCGCTTATCAAGCTAAGTACGTCTTTTCGATATGGTCAAAGATAAACTGTACAAGTCCGGAATATGATGAGAATTGCAAGGAAATTACGTCTTCGTCATCGCACCAAGTGACTATGCGAGCATGTTTGGAACTTGAGATCGTTTGCTTTTTTAGGCACAAGAATGCCAATCGCTTTATCACCCAACCAACCTTGCAAATCGACATATTGGCGATTTTATTATTAAAAAAATGAAGAAAAGAGAATTAACTAAAAATTTAATTAAAATTAAATATCACAAGTGATACTGAAAAAATATAAATGTTTAAATTTGATGAATATGTTAATAGAAACTAATAAGATATTTTTGGGAAAAAAAACAGTTAAGTAATGGAGAAAGTCTCAATTAAAAAGGTCAAAATACGAAAGTTGGATATTCGTTGCGTGTTTTTAAATGGTTAATTAATGAAAAGCACCGACTGATCAATCATAAATATTTAAAAATATATGCTTGGATTTCGATTACATTTCCTTTTATGAATTGAATACATCATTTCCTTCTTATAATATTTTTTTACATGTTTTTACTAATCAATAGTTTCTGCATTAATTAAGCCTTTTAAATATGCATAATGCATAATCATTTTTTGTCGCTTCAAATTTTTGTCATTGATGCCTTTGACCTTTTTATGTAATTTGTGTTGTTCTTTTCTTGAATTTTCGTTTTTAGTTCCATTAAAATGGACATGGTCATCAAATGTTAACAATTTTTATTTTGCAGTAAATATTATTGATATCTACTTTTTCCTATTATCATTGTTTTAGTTAATTTAGTTTTCTCCCGTTTTCTATATATGTCATTTCTTGCAACAATTAAGAGTAAAAGGGAGATTTCTTCTATAAAATGATATGAAAATATACATTTACCCCTAAAAAGTCATGCCCATTGCACATGTTAACGGAAAAAAATAAAGAAGAGCTACTTGTCGTAACAACATGAAACTTGAGAAAAGTATCGTGTAGGGGTTGAAATTTCAGGGGCGAACGTGTACTACTCCAAAGTTCTTCGAGAAAAGATTTTCTATTGAATCTCCCTTCTCATCTTTCTTCATTTTTCCTGTTTCCTGCTTCATGGACTTGAGCTCCGGAAACAATAAGCCTCCACGACGGCCAACCCGGCCAACCAATAGAGTGCCCGGCGGCTGCTCTTGTCTAGGTCAATGATATTGAATAAGTTAGGGTTTTTCCATGAAGAATAGTCACCGCTTAAAAAGGGACCGCTGTTTGGTATCGAGCTGCCAAACTCAATTTCACTGAAATTGCCATAAAGAATTGCTAGAGAGATAGAGAGAGAGAGAGAGAGAGAGAGGGGGACCGATTCAAGTACGAACATGTTTCGATCCTAAGTTCATAGATAAAACGTGTTAACTGTGGCGCCCATAGAATCTTCTCCTCGTGTTTTGATAATGAGATTCCGTTTATTTCACAAAAAAGAAATGATTTGGAAAATATATTCCCAAAAAGATCGCTCATATCGCTCGAAATGATTAGCCGGTAAAAAATATTTTTATTTGCAATATTTTCATTTGCGACGACAACTTATATAAAAATATTTCGTGGTCGACGAAATTTTTTTCCATTTATTCATTTTTATAAGCGACATAAACAATCATTTTTAGAAAAAATATTTTCTAAATTATTTATTTTTCGAAAAATAAACGGAGCCTAAATTCACATAAGCAAATGAATTTACTATTTATTACAAGTTATAAAGAATCAAGAAACCTAGAAGAGGGTTTAATGACTCTGATTGACAAGATGTGATATGCTCCTTATCTGATATATTCTTTTGTTCGTGCAAATTACTGCTGGAAAATCCATCTTCTTCTGCTTTCGTCTTGCAAATGGCACAAAAGTTCATGTTAAAAAATGAGGATAGATCCCGTCGGAAAGAAGGACACTTTTTTTATAGAAAAACAAAGAGTACTCGATCTACTATCGTAAACGTACGCCATATTTTACCTTAGATCCGCCTCCGTGAGCTCTCAAAAGTGGGATGGAGAAGAGCTCTCCACATGAATTTCAAGCAATGGAAACGTGATGGCTTTAGGACCTGGCTTAAAACAAACCAAAAAGCATGGGTGAGCAAAAAGAACCTGGGAACCGTCTAGACCAATCGGTTCCGAGTGGCTCCCGGAAGCACCGATCCGATTCCCTGCTCTATAAAATTTGAATCGGTGAATTTCGGTCCAGTTCCCGATTTCAAGGACCAGATCGATTTTTTAAAATTTTTTAATTTATCAATTTCTTAAAAATCTGTTAAAAAACCTAATCTCTCCTATTTCAGAAAAGAAGGCCATTCAAGACTGGAGCGATTACGTTTAATTATGCACGTAAATAAGATGACAAGGACTAATCAAAACACAACAGTAGTTGCTCATTCCAACCAAATTTTGCCAAAAGTTGGAAAAATATCAATGAAACCTATAATATTACACGTAACTCACGGACTATAGATACGCCTTAATTATCAAGAACAACTAAAGACAAATAAAAAAATGGAAATTTTATCGGTATCATTCATCCACCCAAGAACCGAATCGGACCGGTCCGATCTGATTTCAGGAGGCATCAATCCAGTTCTTGGGCGGGAACTGGATCACCCATGAACCGGTCACCCACAAACTGTCATGACTTGGTTTGACCTTCACATTTCAAAACTTTTCAGTGTCATACCATAAATAGAATTTGAATTGGAGAATCGCTAAGTTTAAAAGAAATAAAGGATATACAAAGTTCATCAAAACAAAACTCTAACTGATCGAGACAAACTATTTAATTATATCAAGGTACGAAACAGTTTGTCTAAACCCCTTATTTTCCTAATCTTGTAATTTTAGGAAGAAAAATAAATTCTCTCTCTCTCTCTCTCTCTCTCTCTCTCTCTCTCTCTCTCTCTCTCTCTCTCTCTCTCTCTCTCTCTCTCTCTCTCTCGAGGCCAATTGGAGGTGATCAACCTCATATCTACCATTAATTGTTAGCGCGGCACGCCATCACATGACGCATTTATCGCGATTCTTACTGTCACGGTCCTTATATAAAGATTTCCATCCCTTCCCCCACCCCCACCCCCACCACCCTCAACTCGGGGCTTATTTTACATACGAATCACAACAACTCCTAATCAATATTGCAAGGCTCGACATCATAACTATAACTAAATATGGACCATCGAAAAATAGGGGTTCGTGTAATTAAAGACCGGTCGAACTGAAAAACTGAACACCAGTTACAAAAAAAAAGAAAAAGGGAATCCTGAAAATTATTACGAAGGGGGGCTGAAAGGAGATTTTTCCCAAACATCAAATTGATCACGCCGCCCTATGATGGATCTTTTATCATTCCGACAAAGGATGAAAAGTGTGCCAAGGGGGCTGCCTGTCGACTCTCGGAAAGTACAGCACAGCACAGCACGAACACGGTCATCGCAAGATACTTAAAACAAAACATAGAAAAAACGACAAAAAGAAAAAGCGGAAAGGTGGGCGTAACCTGCGAAAAACACGTTGCGCACGTGCTGAATCGAACCCTAGGTCTCGTCTCACCGCCTTCGATCCAACTGGCGTGTCCCTCTCTCTCTCTCTCTCTCTCTCTCTCTCTCTCGTTTTCCTTTCCTTGCTTTCTTGTGTGCTGTCCGTGGGAAATGCGTTTCTTCGTATATGGTGACAGAAAGAGAGAGAGAGAGGCGACTGAAACTCGTGACGAATAAAAGGGACAGCAGAAGAGACCGGTTTGTATTTAAACCCAAACCCATCATTAAAACCCAAGAATAAGAGCAGAAGACTCGTCTGAATTACAGCAGCAAATCTCCATCTCCAAAACCTTTCGAGCTCTCGATCAGTTTCTTGCGCCGACGTACTCGATCCGGGCGTGTTCCGAATACCATTGTCACCGTCGTCATGAAGAGGAGCTTCGATCTCGAGCTCCGGCTCCAGCCGTATTCCGTCTCTGATTTCCTGGCTTCGTCGTCGTCGGTGTCGTCGGCGGAGTCTGCCGAGTGCTCACGCGAAGAGCAGCGGAAGCTGACCGTATTCTACGATGGCAAAGTCTCTGCCTCCACCGTTACTGAACTGCAGGTAAGCTCTTTGCTTCTTTCCTTCTTAAGATCATGTTCCCTTTTCTTTGTTCCTCGTTTCTCTAAGGGACAGAATAGTTTGATGTGTCTGAATCCTTTCTTGATGGAGAGAGTTTCCAATAATCATATTGCAATCTAGAGTAGACATAAGAGAGAGTTGCTGAGTTGCTTACAGAAGCATACGATCTCATTCATTTTCGAAGCTTCAATTCGCTTGAAAGTGCTTCGCTTCCATCTCCACCTTTGGTGACGGGTAAACACGAGAAACAAAATTAGGTTTTGGGTCTGATTGTCTACAATCTTTTCTCGCTTTTTCACCTTCCCTTCAAAAGATTTGAAGCATGTGGAAATTTCGAAAACTATGAAATATTACAAAAAATCTTCCAATTCAATATTCACGTATTTAAAAATATTTTTTAGTTTTTTCGTTAAATTAAATTAAATTGCGCGAGCTGCAAGATTAAAACAAGAATCGCTCCAAGTGGGCATTTATATTTTGTGCTCAACAAGTATTATTAGGACAATCAGAACTAAAATTCTTGTATTAGATTGGGTTTTCGGGAAAATTGGAGGAGATTTTCTTTTAATTTTGTTCTCTTTTTTTGGTTAATTACTTAATGTCAATGAGTTAGGAGGTGGGCAGGAAACCAGGAGGAAGTAGCGTGTACTTTGACTCCTGATTCTAACAAAAGACTCGTGGCTTCTGCTGTAGCAGTCATCAACGTTGACTTGCATCTTCATCGGACTTTCTCCCTAACATTTTTTAATGTAATTAGCCACGTGATCCCATCCCAACACCTCCCCCACATCGTTTCCTCGCAAGTTTGGTGGGTCTTAAAGTATCTTTCAATCGACAACATTTATAGAACGATTGATCGTTGTTAGAAATGGAAAATTCTAATTTATAAGATTCACTCATTTGAAAAATGACCCGACAAGATTTTAATTATAGAATATTAGGTATACCCGTCCCGGTTGCGAAAACACGCCCATCTTCCCATTTTCACATTACTTTGCAAATCATTCAAAAAAATTAAACTCCAATTCCTCTAAAATTACGAAATAAATCTGCATCTGAGATGACCGAATTAGGGGAACTCGATCAAAATTATTCTCTTGAATTCTTTACCATGCATTTTCTTATTCTTATGGCATGAACTGTCATTTCACTCAATTATTTTCATCAATTGTTTAAGTTTTCACCTTAGCTGATATGTTTCGTTAATCCTCTGATTTTCTCAGGCCAAAGCAATAATTCTGCTTGCCAATAGAGAGATGGAGGAGAGAAGCAGCAAGACTCCAACAGGGTCGGAGCCCTCGACGCCGAGCTTGCGGTCTCAGCCCTCAACGCCAAGCTTGCGATCTCAGCCCTCGACACCGAGTCCGCAGGCTCAGGTCTACAATTCCACAGGCCTCTCCATGAAGAGGTCTCTGCAGAGATTCCTCCAGAAGCGGCAGCATCGGATCCAAGCCACTTCTCCTTATCATCATCAGTATTAGTTTTTAATTTGATTAGTTCAGTTTTTTTGAGAGATTTCGTGCCATTCGGATGTTGTTGGGGCTTCTTGGAAAAGATATGTTCTTGATTGACTGACTTGAATATGGTGTAAAAAGGTTGCAATTCAGATGTGTCATGTGGCTCATGATTGAAGTTCCTTGTTGGCTCCTGATGATCCGGACGGATACTTTCGTTTGGTTTTTGGGATTTTATTATGGATCGGTAAGAGCTATAGCTGCAGATTTGGATGTAAACCAATTTCGAGAAACTAAGATTTCGTGCATTAGCTAAATTTTTGCCACGATTTTATCGTATTATGGATATGGTCATTTGTCAAGAATCCAACATTACTTGTAAAAAGGAAAAAGGGACACTAGAAGTGCCATAACTTATGTACGCGCTCACTTCGATGGTAAAACTTTTCGAGTGATTACTTAAATGCCAATTTTGTAAATAAATAAAAAAAAAAGAAAGATCACTTCAGTACCATCGTCAACTGGATAAACACAAGAAACAAAATTAGGTTTTGTTTCAATTGGATTAATAACGTTGTAGTGCGCGAAGGATTCAAAATGTATTTTTCGTGTCCGTACTTTTCGGAAAGTGATTCCATTAGGGTTAAATTAACGAATATTTGCTCTAGGGCTGATTATTTAGAGCGTCAATGAAACATATATCGCCACATTGTTTGTTAATGGAGATTAATTTGCTCTGAGTTTGCGTATCGCATAGGCAATAGGTTAAAAATTTGCTGAGTTGAGTTTCGCGTGGCATTTGATAACTTTACGGAACATTTTAGTCGGTTCAAACTATTTTTCAGACTTGTCCATGCTTAGAACGGACATTAATTTCCTCGTTTATATACTGGTTTACCGGATATCTTGGTATTTTATCAAAATATCAACTTTAGAACAATAAAGTTAGGACATTTGTCACCTTCTAATTCGATCACCTCTCATTCAACTTCAACCTAGTGATTTTAACCTAATATTATCATTGCTTTTAATCTTGGTTAAACATTCTTATCCCCTGTAATTCAAGGAGGTCTTCTAAATACATTCCCCTGGGTCATGTAACTCCATGAAAAAATGTTTCAAAGTCTTCAACTTCTCTATCTCGATTTTTACTGACCGATCTTCCAAGAAAAAACAAGGGTCTCACGTTGGTATTTCTAAAGCTTATAGTTTGATGGACTTCCTCTTCATCTTATCAAACTAGCTATGTTGCTTAAAAAGATTGAGAGTTGTTAATTTATGTTTTTGATTATTTTGCTTTGAAGTTAATTAAAGCTTTAATTTGCTCAAATCTTTTTTAGGTAAGTGAAAACTCTAGGGGTTAAGTTAGATTGATCTATTTGGTACTCTTGACTAGGTTGTTTGATGGTTGAAGATTTTAGTTTGAATTTTGATGTTTAGTGTGAGAAAGTTTGATAGATTGTATGTGGAATCGTTGGGTTCATTGGACTTGAATCGAGGAGCCTCTCTCTCCATGCCGAGTTTGTGATTAATCGATGGAAGAACTACATTTGGCAAATCATCAAAAGATTTAAGACCAAATTGGTATAATTAAAAATTTTAGGACTAAATCGGTATAATTGAAAGGTTTATGACTAAATTGGCATAATTTAAAGGTTTATGATTAAATTGCCGTCCGTATGATAGATTTAGGACTTTTTGGAAAAATTTCCTAATCCTTGAGTGTTTTCTAACCCTGTAATAAACCCAAAATAAACACACAAATATTATCTCATAATTTCTCGTAGAGAACTCACTCAAAAAACTTGCAGAGAGACACTTTTTTTGTTTTGCTCTAGTGTGTAATCACCAACTAGAATTCCATCCCCTATGTGTACATAATACTTGTATCCAAAATAGGATACAGTTTTAGGAAACTTGCTCAAACTAGAAACCACGGAAAGTACGAAACTTACTTAAATTAGAAAATCTATTTTGATCGGGTGTTCCTTACGGCTCAATTACCCATAAAAAAAAATTAAAAGTTTGCAAGAAACTAATAAGTTAGAAGTTCGACACCAGAATCTCAATGTTCAAAGAGTGTATCGTTAAGGACGATTTCAGACGATCGAACATGAAAAGTATACTAGAATGATAGAATCCCTTAAACAATTCATAATACACTTCAACCAAGGAAAGAGATTGCCTTATTTGAATGCTATTAATAGTAAGAAGTTGGGCGCAATTGTTTGGTTAACTTTAGTACGTACATGACACATTTATTCTTTTGATTGGTTATTATTCCGAGTCCGTAGAAGGATATAAATAAGGGTTAATACCACAAAAAACCCCAAATGGGTATACCTATTACAAATTTACTCCAAACTAATTTTTTAACCAACAAAAATCCCAAATAGGTACATCTATAATAAATTTACCCTCCGTTAATTTCCGTTAAATTTTACCGTCAAATTGCTGAGTTGGATGATACGTGGCAATTGATGGGTGTATCAATTTAGGGTTTTATCCCTCTATTTATCACATATTTACCAATTAATAATTTTTTGTGGTATTAATCTAATTTAATAGAGGGTAAATTTGTCACAACTGTACCAGTTTGGAGATTTTTGTGGTAAAAAATTAATTTTGGGTAAATTTATCACAAGTGTATCAATTTGAAATTTTTTGTGGTCAAAAAACTAGTTTTTAGTAAATTTGTCACAGGTGTACCGGTTTGGGGTTTTCTGTGGTATTAACCCTATAACTAATGCATTTTATTACTGATGGAATTAAGAAAATCAACTTACCCATGAATTAAGACATATAAACTCTCTTGATTATGTTGAACCTCATAAGATCTTAAATGCTAAGAGGTGAATTAAATAATTAGCTAAGAAGAATCAATTTTCAAAGATTTGGTCCAATTAGGGAGGCATGAATCCAAATTTCCGTAAAACAAGAATAATTGTCTCTCATTTAATAAAATGTACCATTATGATTCACAATGGGCTCTATCGAAATAAATGTGAGTATGAAATTATATTTTAAAATTGTTTATCATATAGATAAATGGGTAACAAGAGGCCACGCGTGTACTATGTAGTGGTCCACGAAAAGACAAGCAAATGAGAATTGCATGTCCATCGAGGAGGAATATCGTTCATATACAAAAGCTGGCCGACTACAAAAACAATATGAATGCGCATCACGTTGGTACATAACCATTTATTTAATTTTGACTATGGTGTTGCTAATAAATTTGATATTGTTTGCTTTTTCGTTTATTTCTCTTAGGATTCTCCCTCTAACGCAGAAGTTGAGATGTCGACCTAAGGTATGAAATGTGCGAATTGATTGAAGTGGAGAGATATAGCCCAGATCTTTTATCAACAATAATTGCGATATTATGTCAGGTAACCTATTATAACAAGAATCTAATCCTAATGGATCCATAATGTGTATCAAACATTTTTATTTGTTTCGATATTATAATTTAAGGGCGTGAGCGTAGAGATCCGATTACCTAGAAGCCTATGAAAGATGTTAGCCCCGTGGGTTGATTAAGTCTATGCTAGAGATAGGCAGGACACGAGCAATCCGTGTCCCGCGGTGCCTGGTCCCTAGAATGGGGCAATTTTTCTCTTTAAAAATGTCCCGTTTCTATATTTTTTAAAAAATATATTTACTATGCATATTTAGTTAATTTAATATAGATGATCAATTAAAAACGATATATTCAAACATACATTATTAGTTAAATAATTAGATTGTAATTAGACATAAAATCTTAAAATATGGATATTGGGATATATATAGATTTAATCTATATATATATATATATATATATATATATATATATATATATCACTCATGATTTATCCATTTAAAATATAAATATATTGTTAACTTTATATTGTGAGTGGTAGACATCTAGACATTTGCAAGTTTTTTTTTTCGTGATTTATTACTTAAATATATGGCAAAAAGAGGAATATACATGCACCGATTTCAAAATTTTGCTTAAAGTTTGACCTCTCGCTAGGCGACGCCCTGCGAGCAGCGTTGCCCAACGCAAGATGCCTCACCCAACCAGCCTCCCTCGCGGCAGGGTGGGGATAAGGATCACCAATTCCTAGTTAGATCCATTTAACATGTGCAGATGATCTTGATCATGAGCAGTTTGCACATCGGTTAACCTCCTGTTTTTTGCACTGCAAATCCCCCCGACATCTCCCACCAACGACACCAGTCCTCAAGGTTATCTAGAACATCAATCGATGGATCTCAATGTGAAACTTTTAGTTGTGTTGTTCCTTATGAATGAGTGTGAAAAAGACAGAATTAGGACTTTCTTGGCAGCCCCACTCAAAAGTTCCACTAAATGTACTGCCACATGCCAAAGCTGAACGTCCAAAATAGTGAAGAAATCGTGCCACAATATGTCAGACGTCACAATTTGAAATGGAAACTTCAACATGGACTTTTTCAAATGGGAAACTTCGAGCATGGTTCCAGCCACCCAACCCCCCCATCGATCTTGAACGATGTGGAGAAAGAAAGAAATCCTTACAATCTCATTCCATGTGTTTTAAATGTTGGCTGATAATGTAAACATCAAGAATCGAGTCTCTTCCGATGATGTGACTTGGTTTTTAAACATTGGTCCATTTGCAAATGACTAGCCAAAGCTTAGTCAATGTGGCTTTTCACACTTGCTTTTTTCATTTTCGTCTTAGCTTTTAATGTTGAGCACCTCAAAGTATGTAGCATCCCGATATCTTTTCATAAGCACTCTCTTGAAAATAAAAGCGATCACATAACATGTTAGAAAGTCCAATTCAAAAATTTAAACTGATAGGTGAATGGAGATCACATAAATATAAAAAGCATATAATACCCGTTGTGAAGCGATGTTGGACAATATTTCAACAGGCACAAAGTGAAGGACAAGAAGGATGATCCGTGTTGATGGACAAGTCTAAGTGAACAAAATGAGGGAGTACGCTTTTAAAATAATTTTTATTTGTCGAATTTGTTGAGGTGATCGAAGTTTGGTCCAAACACCATCTAACGCCTATACCAAAAAAAAATTATCACTCTCTCATGCCATGTGGCAAATTTAGAATGGACCACGTATTTGGCTTTGTCCTTCTAAAGATGCCACCTCAACACATACACACGTAGAGACAAAAAGGGGAAAAACCGTATTATGTTTGTTTATTAACTTCAACTATAGTAACTTGAAAATTAATTAGAAAAGGATTTAACCATGAGAATACGCATATTTAGACAAAAGGAAAGTAGAAAAAAGAAACACATAAAAGAACACTCCAATGTGAGTATTAATTTCCTCTATACTACTAAACAATTCCGGAAAATCCACATGAAGTTCAAATTTAAGAAAATCTAGAGAAATGCATCTTTGGAAAAAATTAGATCGATTGTATCATTGTGATTGTAAAAAAAAAATATAGAGAAAAAACATGCTAAAACCACCCTAATTAGATATTAGTTTCAATTATACTAACTAAAAAGTTCTGAAAAAAATTATATGAATAATAGCAAATAAGAGAGAAAATTATTCGAGAATGACACAATGATACCCATGCAGAGACTAAAGAAAAAAAAATTCAAAAAAGTATGGTATTACTTTATTTAAGCCTACTTATAGCAGGAAAATATATATTTTTTTGGGTCAAACAGGAAAAATAGTTGAGCTAGTATGGATTAAGCCCTAAAGTAGGTTTAAATACATTTAGATGCGTTCAATTAGTTTAGTTATGATGGTTATTCAAGTAAAAATTTATGTAAGACGAATGTGTAAATGTGCTATATAAGTGATCACTTCTAATTAACCTAATCATGTTGGATTAAGTAGAAAAAGTAATTATCTTGATTTGATGCAACACAATTATGAAAAAAGAAACATGAATTACCAGACCTTAGTATATTTCACAGAGCCTGGACCAAATTTATGCTTAAGGACACTGATATAAAACCTTGTTTATGGGCTTGGATTAGTGCCCAATAATGGGAAAAATGTTGAGTTTCTCAATTGACAGTGTAGATCAAAAGCACTGAGTTGCCAAAGAGACAACAAATGCATCTGTCAAATTCCCAACAACTGCAACACAACATTGCCTCAGAGCAGCAACTTGAGATGCTGATCTTTGTGCCCAGTCCAATCCGGCTACAAGACCCCGAGCATCGCCGTTTTACAATCTTGGAGTGATGCGCGGAGCGTCCCAATCTGTGACGATGTGGTCTCGCGCGATCTCCTTCAACGAGCGGCACCCGCTTAGCGCCATGGTCAGCTCGAACTCATCGCGAAGCATTTGAAGCACTTTCCTCACGCCCGCTTCGCCTTCGGCCGCGAGCGAGAAAAGTACTGGCCTTCCGATCTGGAGATCAAATCGAGGATCGCATTACTAAGATAAGGCAGGCACATCCGCGTTGGAAAAGTAACGTTTAGACATATAGGAAACCAAAACTATGGATTTACTTTCAGGACAATTTCCTAAATCAAGTTCCAATGAGTAGTGTAGTCACTGTGCCATAGAGTATAAATGCTCCAGAGTCGCTTTACGATTCAGTACTTACAAATATGCCGGATGCTCCGAAAGCCAGTGCTTTGAAAACATCCGTTCCGCGACGGACACCACCATCCAGGAATACAGGAACCCTGCCTTGAGCGGCTCTCACAACCTGTAAATGCAGACTTGATTAAGGGTAATAAAAATAACCCTTAAGAGACTTGAAATGTACAAGCAATCCACGGATAGAGGAGTTGAACATAAGGACTATGCTTGAGATTTGTGTCAAAACTGCAGGATTCAAAAATCTAATACGAAATCTTCAGAAGAAAGGACAATATTTTCATATCGATAGCTCAGCGACCAGCGGTGGTATAGATATTAGGAAAGGCTTAAAAGTTGTGTGGAGTACTCTAGGAATTACAGTACTGAAAATGATCAAACAGAGAGGTAGAGAGAAGCCGATACCTCTTCCAGAGCCATGATTGTTGCAGGGACGTAATCGAGTTGTCGGGCTCCGTGATTAGAAACTATGATCCCGGCAGCTCCGCATTCTATAGCTAGCCTAGCTGTGATTGAAACCAAAGGGCAATTTCAGAGACAAGTACAAGAATATATAATGCTTAATCCACACAACATGTAGAATTGGCAACTTGGTGATTTAAAATTCGCTGTCCACTTACTATCTTCCGCTGTTAGCACACCCTTGACTAGAATTGGCAACTTGGTGATTGTTTGCAGCCACTTGACATCCTGCACCAGCAAAATCAGTACTAGTTCAGCTAAATATTAGTCAGCTGACAGTCTGATACAAAAAGTTAGTGGTGCGACCTTCCAGCTGAGAGACCGGTCAATTTGTCCGGCAACATAAGACGCCAATCCAGAGTCGTTGGTCTGAAAAGTAAGCAAAACAACGAACTCAGTCATACTCTCACATGGACAAAAACGAAACCAACACTAAGCTGAGAAAAGCAAAGGCAATCAACCCAAAGACCCAAGCGTAACTCAAAGGCAGAGTGAAGATATGTAAAACAAATGGCAAATTTGCACACCCGGTGTATAGATGAGTTAAAACAAAGATCTAATCCCCACCTTATCCATCTTGCCAAGATCCAATCCCTCAAAGTTCTTCAATGTCAGGAAAGGTGGCAGTGTGAACCTGCAGAGCATAGTATGTCGATCAAAGCCATTGTATACGATTATTGGAATAGATAATGATTGCACATCTAAATCTTTTTCCCTTACTCAGCTAAGTAACCCTTTTGCACAACTGATCATCTTCTAACAGATGCTCACCTATTCTTGATATCGGCTTCCCTGCGCCCCAGCCTTGGAGTATCGACAGTCAGGACAATAGCTGTAAAACCAGCCCTTTCAGCTCTTCTTACAAGCTGTGCAACGATGTTCCTGTCCTTGTACACCTACTTATATGCAATCATTGAAGAAAAGGAAACCAGCAAGTTCCATTAATCGTGATATCATTATATTAATTATTATTGCATTCTCACACTTCACTAGTAGCTAGAAATATTTTGAAAATATGGAAATTATTGGAAATTCATTCTTCACAAAGTTCATACACTTATAGGTAACTTCATACTAAGTGCTTGAAGAATGAATGGTGAAAAAAGACAATCAAGAAATACATGTACATGCATCTTAAGAAAAAAGTGAATAAGGTGACCGATTAAACTACTGGAACAACATGCACTAGTATGATTAGGCATTTTGCAGATCAGTAGATAATGAATGATTCGCCTGAAAATAAGCAGATTATCAGGAGGATAAGAGCAAGAGCAGCTACTTATACGGAAGCTCAAAATCAAGGATGCAAATACAATTATTAGAAAATCAGTCGTTCAAACTCACATAGAGCTGGAAAAATCGGATGCCTGGCCCCGTTGAGGCAACCTCTTCAACACTTGAAGTAGCCAAAGAGGACAAAGTCTGAAACCATGAAAATGATTATGTGAGGGGCAGACCATTGAAGTTGAATTTTATGGAGAAAAATTCATCGGCCAGGAGCCAACACCGTGTATCTATTGTGTTCTTGGCGTTAAAACGGATGCATCTAAGAGAACAAACAAGAAGCATTTCCTTTTTCTGAAGAAATACTAACCATAATTGTTCCTGCTGCTGAGGCTGCTCTTGCTGTTGCATACTCTCCTGCAAAAAATATCGGTTTCTTATAGCAAAACAGAAGTGCATTTTCTTTCACTGAGTCTACAAATAATCAACTAGAAAAACTTATGCCAATTTAACGTCACGGCATATATTTTCTGTCAAGTTAAATTGCGGAAGGCAACTGGCTTGATATCCAGGAAGCTGAGAAGAAGAGTCCTTTTTACATAGAATTCCACCAGAATAACAAACTTTGCATTAAGGCTACTAGAATAACACATACAAAGTTCTCTACAATGCAGATTTTAGCTCCTCTTGGAGGGCAATTAGATGCAATGACAGAGTAGTTAACTTTAGAGCACTTCGAATGACCTCTATGGGTGTAAAAGTGATCATAGATATCTCCTAAACTCACCGAAATGCGTTTAGTCATCATCAATTGAAAATCCAGTGGGAACAACAGCATACCCCAGAGTGAAGTAGTTGGACACCAATTTTTCTGTATTACGACTGATTTCATTTGCCAAGTCCGCAAATAAAGTGAGTAATAATTTTCTAATTAACCGGGATCCAGAGTCAAATTCGTGTTGCCAATATTTATGTAAAGAGGCAAGTAGAACAACATGTATTGAAGCACAAGTCAATCTTTGAAAAGTAATGAGGTCATGAAAGGATACATTACCTTCAGGATGAGCCATTTTCTGCATGGCTGTTGGTGCAATCATGATCGGCATCGAAATCTTGAAACCCAGCACAGTTGTTGCCATGTCTATCTTGCTCACGTCAATGAGAATGCGAGGTCGGAACCTAACTCCAGTAAAAGAAAAATATGTTTATCGAAGAACCCCCAGAACTTATTACAAAAGCATAAAGCAAGCTAAAAATTTGATCCAGAGGAGCAAACAGTTTCTCAAAGCAGTGAGAGCAAATGAGAACACAAGGGCTCACAAGATCCTGGAAAATGCATTTCGGTTTTCCTGAAGAGTCCACTGGTCTTCTGCGCCCGACGCATAGTAGTCAAACACCATCTTTGGCAATTTCTGCCTCGCGATCTCCTCATATTCCATAACATTAGTGATCTCCATCTCGCTGAATTCAACTTATTGTATCTGCTTGCCCAGGAAGAGCCTCGGAATTAGTATATCTGTATCTTCCCTCTTTTTGCAAAATTATCATGCGCTTATGGTCAGCACTCAGTAGATCCGTAATCTTAAAAGGTTGAGTCTTACTCCACAAATATCTGCAGGATTGAGAGGGTGGAAAACAGGGTAATTGACATAAAATTTTCAAGAAGCTAGGACTATAGACTAAATCCTTACCGTCATTGTCCGGAATCATATTCACACAAGAATTTTCCGGGTGTGGTAAATAACTATCAATGATCACCAGGTACTAACGAAAGAGCACTAGCACAACTATGCAATACTCCTTTTTTATCTTTTCCACACAAAACTCACGAACAAGCACCGTTCTTGAATTTGATCATTTCAGGCAGATAGCCACCGCTTTCGGGTTTTGCCCAATTGAAAAAGCGACGATTGAACATGAACTCTAAGTTCTCCTGACATACCCATGTACTACAGACATAAAAGCAAACACCAAACTCAACTCATTCACAGAACACTTCACGTCATCAGAGACAACCCGGGACCAGGAACACAACCAAGCCAACGAGCGAAGCTAGGGTTGACGGCCCAAGAACACAAAATTTGAAACGATCTTGATTGAAAAAAGGAGCAACCGAAAGAAGCTGTCGCTTCCGGTGAAGCACCAGCACGCACCAAAGTGAAAGATTTGAACGAAGGAAAAATTTATCGTGGTCTAAAGAGCGAACCTTTAGCTTTGGTACTGCCTGAAATGGCCCTTGGAGGATTCAGCAATGATCAATCTCCCAGGACACACCGAGAGAGAGAGAGAGAGAGAGAGAGAGAGAAGAGAGAGTTCTAAGCTCTTACGTAGGCGGAGGGCGGAACAAGAAGAGTATGACAGAAACAAACAAGAAAGAAAGGACTAAAATAATAAAAAGACAAACGACAGACAAAACGTAGAGAGAGAGAGAGAGAGAGGAATGGATTGGCGCTATTCAAAGCCAAATCTGCTTCATGGAAGCGCGAGCCTCCCCCGTGACCTCTCTCTCATGTTTCACTTATCTTGAACTAATTATTTAAACGAATTAATACCGCGAAAAATCTGAATACATCTGTGATAATTTTACCTCGAATTAATTTTTTGATCATCAAAAACCCCAAACGGGTACATCTGTGACAAATTTATCCCGAACTATTTTTTTTACTACCAAAAACCTCATATTAGTACATTTGTGATAATTTTACCCCGAACTAATTTTTTAATCACCAAAAACTCGAAACTAGTACACATGTGATAATTTTACCCCGAACTAATTTTTTGACCACTAAAAACCCCAAACTGGTGCGTTTGTGATAAATTTACCTCCCGTTAATATCCGTTAAATTGGATTAATATCACGAAAAATCATAAATTGGTAAACTTGTGACAAACAGAGTGGTAAAATCCCAAATTGGTACACCCGTTAACTATCACATGTCATTAAACTTAGCAATTTGACAATAAAATTTAACGGAAACTAACATAAGGTAAATTTTTCACAAGTATACCAGTTTGGGGTTTTTTATGGTCAAAAAATTAGTTCGGGATAAAATTGTCACAGGTGTACTAGTTTGGGGTTTTCGGTAGTCAAAAAATTAGTTCGGGGTAAAATTATCACAGATGTACCAATTTGAGATTTTTTTTTTGTCAAAAAAATAGTTCACGGTAAATTTGTCACAGGTGTATCAATTTGGGATTTTTCGTAGTATTAACCCTTATTTAAACTAGAACAATCATGTCACAAATGATTTTTTTTTTTTTGAAAAAGCACAAAAAAGCATCAAAAACACATTTATCCAGAACTTTTTTATGATATCAAAAACCTCAAATTATATCTACAGTAACACGTTTAGCCTAATTTTTTTCATATGACATAAAAAATCAAAACTTGTACATATGTAACACATTTACCTTCCATCAATATTCTGTTTTTACATATTATTTGCATTTTGACATTCATATAGGCAGATTTTTAACGATTCTCATTGACAGAACTTTAAGAGAGGTAAATGCGTCACACAGGTACAAATTTAGGATTTTTGGTGTCACAGAAAAAAATTTTGTGATAAATGTGTCACAATGGACATGGTTTAGGATTTCTAGTGGCTCTTGCTTCTTCTTTTTTCCAAAATTTGAGGTTAATATGTAACAAATTGGATCTTTTTGTAATAGTTTTCATTATCAATCGCAAATTTGTCCCTTTTATAAGATGATGCGACCAAATGCAAAGTGAACATTTAAATAAATGAATCGTATGCAGTGTTTATACCTATCGATTTCTTAACTAATATTTGGTAGGCAGTGTTATAATATGGATTATTTATATTGAGTAAATGGATTTAGAATGGTAAAATCCAAAGTAATATAGATGTTGAATGGATTCACAACTTTCTTAGACTCAACCTGCCTCTCTGACTCTTTCTTCACTTTCTTGACCTCACTCGATCTCATGCTTACTTACTCTGCGCTCTCAACTTTGTCTATGAGTTTTCCTAGATTGAGTTAAATATAGAAGTGCTTTAGCAAGTCGGGTAGAGGTTGGGTAGGGTATGAGTTACTAGATTTGTATTGCATGTAAATTGATCAAAACGGGGTAAATGAGTCAATTTGAGTCGGATCATTTTCAACCTAACCAAGCCGTTTGACGGATCTAGCGCCAGTGCTCAATAACAATATATCACATTACTTGTTTTGACACACACACAAAAAATGCGAACTCTTAGGTTATTATGGACGAGTGGTAAAGCACAGCCGATATGAACAAAGTTTGGTCAAAACAGAAGTCATCAGTACACAAGACAATCAACTAAATATGAGCTTATCGATAGTGAAGAAATCAACAACACACAATGTGCGATTATTGACAAGAAACCAAAACTTAAGAAAAGCTCATCAATAGAGTCATCGACAGCAAACTATCTCATATGTTGGTTAAGTATTAAGACAATGTTATTCGTGGATAGAGTAGAGGCATGCCAACACACCAGTCGAAGATAGAGATAATGAACTGACACGAGCACATACATAACTATTGAGTGGTTATGTCAATATTATCAAAATCTATGACTTCTTTTTAGATAATATTTGCTAGATAATATGAGGTCGTATCTCGAATTTATAACCGTTTATCAATGATTGCATATAAGATTAGGAGGTTATTTATGAATTCTAAATATGCGTTTGGTTGTTTGGATTCTTAGTTTGGATAAAACTTGATAGGATAGGATATGAAATATAAGGGATTTGTTATATCCTATTTACTGTTTGGTGAATCGCAGTAATAAAATTAGATATTTTCATATCATACCATGTCCATTATTTGCTATGAACGTTATGTCAGTGTAAATGAAGTTAAGAATTGCACAAACGAAGATGACACAAATCTCTCACAACATTCTTACCTACTTCATTTTTATTTGCTTGTTTTTTTATTATTTTTCCCTCTCTTTTTTAATTATTTTCTTTTTTATTTATTTTTTCCCTTCCATCATTCTCTAACAAAATTTTATTAAATAGTAAAATATATTAATATACCTAAAATATGTAATAAATATAAATACTAAATGTATATATATATATATATGAAATTTATATCATAAGATAGAAACAAATTTGAATATATAAATAAAAATAAGAAGAAATAAAAAAATAAATTATAATTTCATATATATATATAAAAATATAACAATAAATAAAAACGAAATTATTGTTTTTTTTTGTTATTTTGAAATTTTTATATTAAAAATCAACTATTGTTTATATTCAAATATTATTTTAATTTTATTAATCTAACAAGTTTGTTATTAGAGAAAAATAACTTTTATATTATGGATATTAGAAATCCTATCCACATTTATCACACCTCTTCTATGGAATAATTTTATTCGGGCTATATCCCTCACATATATGACTTTATCCTGTCTTGGGCAAGCACCAAGTACAGGATAGGATAAATTTTGTCATATCTTAAATTTTATTCCGACCACCAAACATAGTCTAACTGTTTGTAGTAATCCTTGTAACTGTCTCTCACACAATCAAAAATAGCACCCGTGTTTATGTATTTTATCTTTAATTTCCTCATAATTTCACAGTACTAGCAACACTTTAATTACCCGCACTCATTTAAAATTTTTGCAACCTTTCGGTACCTCCATTTGTAATTGCCTTTACTTTCAAAGTCATTTATTTTCTTGTCCAAAATTAGCAAATGTCCCTTTCATAACCTTTGTTATTCAATTTGATCCATCCTTTTTAAAAGATATTTCGATTTTTTCGGTGAATAAACTTGATTACTCAAATTTTATAATCGGTCTCAATTTGCTCGGTTTTTCTCCATGAATAATTTGATCCTCCCATTTTAACTTCTTTTTAACACTCAAATTCCCTTAGATTTATATAACGGTGCAAATAAGTCCTTCCATTCACCACAATCCTAACACGGTAAAATTGCTAATCTTCGACAAAAAGACGCCATGAGGTGCTCTCGATTAAAAATAGGACGGTTGCTATATTACCTAAACAAATAGTAAGTTGTTTATAATTTTCTCAACAAAAGTAAGGTGTGCCGAAAAAATATTCTCCATATCAGTGTTTTGCCATATCGTGATATGCGATTTTAATTTCTAATGCTTGTATAAGCAATCCATCATGCATAATGAAATTTCAAATGAGCTTTTTATAGAGAAATTTCCAAATGAAAGACAAAGAATAAAAAAAGCTAGGATGCCTTTTCTTCCAAAAGAGATTTTCGTTTTTCTTTTTCACGATCTGGCCTTGTCGATGTTAGAGTTAATTATAAGCACCAAATCAGTAAAAACAAAATAGAAAAATTAATTACACAAAATAGGTAAGGATGGAAATCTAAACATGCTCTAGAAGGGAAAGATGAATTTACCGGCGGTTGAGTAAAGAACTTGATTACGCTAATCAAATAAGTAAGTCGACTTAATTATTCGGAAAAAAAAAGCAACGAATCAAAATTCGATATCTATTTACTTAGGTTTATCTAGCCCCATCAATTTTGCCCTACGAGTTCGAGCCTATTGAACCTCAGAGACCGCTCACTCGCTACCCCGTTGATCAGGTGAGATTGATCTACGGTTAGGGCTAATATTCTTCGGGAAGGTGCATTAGTTCTTCAGTTTAATATTAAATATTGTCGTTACCCGAAAAATAAAATTATTCACAACTAGAAGCTTACTTTATTCATTCGTTTTGTCAAATATTGCCCGGGCGAATTGCACCGTTGGATGAGATGGATCGCACATAGGACCCGCCCATTTTAACGGCGGATCTCAGGTCGTTCAGGTGCACCCAATCCTTCCTCTAGCGGGAATGGGCTTTTGTTTTGGCGCTAGTCAACTGAATCACGCCGTCTCTTACTCCACTTCTTCGTCTCGCCGCCTCCAAGGAAACGATGTTTTCATGGACCATTTAGTCCCTCGGTATTTTAGGAAGGCTTTCTAATATATGACCATAAAGGAATATTAAGGTTCCGTCTAT